TGGCTTTTGAACAAGAATTCTCCATTGAAATCCCAGATGAAAAGGCAGATAAGCTTACCTGCTGTGCCGATGTAGCACGATACATAGCTTCTCAAGTAGAGGAAAATAAAGAGGAGAAACACTGAACGACCTCAGTTTTTCGTCATTCATCATCGTGTAATGCTCATTAATTAATGCTTTCTCGTTCGCTATATGAACTGATCTTATGATAGTTCATCTTTTGTTTGGGATTAGATCATCCATCAGGCTATGCACTGATTGTTAAAGAACACAAGATCTCTTTGGCTCCCAATAGAATTTTAAGGGTAGAATTACACCTTGTGAGTAAGTTCAACTGTGTGGAAGACTCGATGCAGCATCTGTCGCATTTGGTATGAAATAGACTGCGGTATTTCATAATCTAGATGTTTTTATACACAAACGATACATATTTATGCAAGCTCGATTTATCGTGCTAACTATGAACGAATAACTCATCATTGTGACTTCAGCGCCATCTACATGAGCCATATATTCTGGTCTGTAACCAATTAATTCACTTTACTAGGCTTCTCTTGTGGTCTGATGGTTAATCCTCCCCTCTTATACAAGCTTGCAGAGGTCGAGATGTTTGGTGCTGCAGCCTAAGGATACCAGAAGTATATGTCCTTGTGCCACCTCCGAACGACGATAATTGCAGCTGTTCACTGCCAGCTAAATGAGCAGGTCGACAGCGTGTGTTCTTTGGTGTCCGAAGAATCTTGATAGAACAGGCCTTTTCGAAGCTGCGGATTGCATGAAGATGGGATGGAATATCAATAACAAAGTCTCCAAATTCATCGGTAACTCCATTAACCCATTCATAAGATTTGCTGTTTTTTCCAGTGTTCTTGCAATTCACACCCACCATGGCACCTGCAGTGATTGATTTTATAATCATCAGAAAGGTAAAAACCAAGCTTGATTTCATAGGTGGTGTTTTTGAACTAAGAAATTAGCTGCCATTGTGTTACCTTCAATAGGCCATGCATGAACTTGATGTTCATCACCATGCAAACAAGCTTCACAAAGAACAGAGCCTGTGACCAAAACTGTGGACAGTCTTTCCTCACCATATCCAGCTATCTGCCTCCAATCATCTCGACCCAAAAGATCGGATAACGGGGTCTCACCTTCTGCAGATTCGACTACCATCGGAAATCCATGGCCGAAAAGGAGGAAGAAGAAGAAGAAATGAAGCGAAAACAGGCTGACAGAATTGTGGAAGCTACAAACTCTGGTAATCATCTTGCTTTATCAATCAATCTGACACCATTTTTAGATACATATGCATTGGTTTATATAATGTTATAACAAAAGAGACGACCCTACACATCGAATTTACAGAAATACCCCTTCCGGGTTTGACGTTGACCAGGCAGTTCCTCTATGTTGGATTTTCGCCATCTTCCCCTCTATGTCCTTTACCAAATGAAAAAGATTGCTTTTCTAAAGTATTTTATTGTGAATTTGGTCACAAGGCTGCATTTTTAGATGAGAAGAGCTTGACCCTCCTTATCTTTTTAAGATAATTACAAAAAAAGTATTGGATTCAGATATCTTTGCCCCACTTGGTAGTGTTGTTGGTAGGAAAACAATATTGGGGAATGGGCAAAAGGGTCTTTTCTACCCACATACATGAAGAAGTTGGTAGTTGGATGGGGAAGTTGATGAAGTAGGTCAATATCCTATGTTCTTTGTCTAAACTTGACATGAGAGAGGAGAGAAGAATTGTGAAGTTGGTGTACCAATCTTTAAGAACAAAAAATTTCTGGTAGAAGACCTCACAAGGTTTCCTATCCACATCCTAAACTTTCAAAGCTACCTCAACAATATGATATCAAGCCTAAGCAATTGCTATATCTTTCTTTGCACAAATTTTCCATTGGTGGTTTACCTATGCATTTATGAGTGTGCAACGTATCTGAGTAAAGAGAGAACGACAACGGGTCTTTCAATAGTTAATTCGAGCCCACCCAAAAGATGCAAGTAAAGAGGAGAACGACATTGAGTCTTCCAATAGTTAACTCGAGCCTACCCAAAAGATGTAAGTAAAGAGGAGAACGACAGCGAGTCTTCCAATAGTTAATCTGAGCCTACCCAAAAGATGTAAGTAAAGAGGAGAACGACAATGAGTCTTCCAATAGTTAATTCGAGCCTACCCAAAAGATGCAAGTAAAGAGAAGAACGACAATGGGTCTTCCAATAGTTAATTCGAGCCTACCCAAAAGATGCAACTAAAGTGAAGAACGACAATGATTCTTTCAATAGTTGATTCGAGATTACCCAAATCAAAAGCAAAATGGTCTGTCTAGGCAGTCGTTCGTTATCGTAAAGTAGTCCCCACGAAGCTTTCGGGAGGAGGGGTAGTCTTGTGTGTAAGTATAGCATTCTTGGTCTATTACCATATAACTTTATCCATCCAATGATGAGAACAGTGATGTTATTACCAACTATTATTATAGAAGAATTTGTTTTTAAATTTTCAAAAACCCCCACAATTATATAGTGTAAAAGAGAATACGTCGTCCCTAAAATCATCCCGAGAGCGGCTAACGTGGATAGTTTGATTTAAAAAATGTTGGGATTTATGTAATTTGATGGGATGATTGATGGTATATTAGTAAAGTGGATTGTTTGTTCTATCTTGAAAGATATTATGCAATTATGAAATGAAAAGCATGTAAGAGCAAATTATTTACTTTGACTTTAAGTAATGCCTAAGCAAAGATGTAAAAAACAATAATTGTCAAATTCAAGTGACCATTTTATATTATTGCATGCATTATATTCATTGTCAAATATTATTTGGAGAACTTTTCAACCCATAAAATAAAAAGAATCGTCAATGAAATCAATTTTTTTGTTTACTTTTTTATTTGGTTTCGTATACCCTAAAAGCATCGGAGGTTAATTGGTCTTTAGAATATCGGTTGATCTTAGAGAGCTTTGTGGCTTTGAGTCAATTATATCATTTCATGGATTAAAATCAAAATCAAATTGTTTCGTTTGCTCTTGAAATTAGGACCCACATAAAAATAACGGACCTTTATATTTTTTTCGTCTTCAATGTTGTTACCAGCGATGACAAGTGTGAGAGGAAGATCCAGGTATCGACCATGAAAAATCTGTCGACTTTGATAGCGAGGAGTTTGAGCTCGGCTAAAATGTGAACAAAGCATGGAAAAGGCAGTGATAGACAAAGTTATGTCCACGAATACAATAAACTAGTAAGACATATTGTTATGCTCATGATTACAATAGACCTTGAATTTCTCTTAAGACTTGTCAAGAGTGTGTCAAGATTGTGACGCCACACGATGAAAATGTACGATCGTGGTACAATACACCTGAAATCTTGTAGTATAGTATTCAAACGTAAATTTATATTTATATTTTATAGATCAATTCACTTTTTTAACTTTTTAAAATTTTCAAATATCCAATAAACATAAAATTAAAATTGGTGACCCAAACTAACCTAAATAGAATTCACAACTCAACTCAACCCTCTATTTTCAAGTCGGGTTAAATTGTCGAGTTGTTTTTTTTTTTTTCAATTATTTTTAGAAAAATCATACTAATTTACAATCACGTTACATTAATAACTAAAATGTCATAAAACTCAACTGAAAAAAGTGTCACATCACGAACCAATCCAAAGTTTTGATTTTTTTTTAAAAAAAAGTTAAGTAGTTCAAATTGGTTAAATTATCAGATCAATAAACACTTGTATCATTTGAATCAACGATGAACGATAAACACGTCGATAGAAACGTGGGCTAAAATTCCATAATTGCAATTAATTCAAAGGAGAAATAGTTGTATCTTGTGAATGTGATTATATTATTCCAAGTGGGTAGTTTTTTATTTATTTATTTTGGGTGCGTAGTATTTTCTTGAAATTTTTATAAAAAAACATTATAATTGTAAGATTGTTCGTTAAATGTCATGTCATCATGTTTTTTTAAGGTTTTTTTTTTAATATCACCATGCTATTTATTCAAAATTCAAGATATTTTTTTATACAAACTTGATTGAAAATCTTAAAGTATTAAGGATAATGTAAATTTTTAAAATATAGAAAATAAAATCGTATTATTTATTAGAAAAAAAAAACAATATTTTATCTTTAATTATTGTAATTTGTTTCGATTTCAATTTTCGCCCTAAATTATCTCTAAATTTTTCTTTTTCCATCTAATATTAATTAAATTTCTCTCGTTTTTTTCATACAATCAATTAAATATAAAATATGGGTCTACTGAGTCGAGTTGGATTAGAGAAATTTTTGGACCAATAAAATTTTTTCAGTTGATTAGGTTGGTGACCCGAGTAACCCAGTAAAACTCCAACCCAACTCAACCCTCCGGTTGTCTAGTTCTTTTATTCTTTTTTATTTTTTTTTTAAATTTTCTTTATCGACAGTATATATTATATTAATAACTAAAATTTCATAAAACTCAAATATCAAACATTCACAAAAACAAATATTAAATATTTTTAATATTCATAATAATCTTAAAAGTAAGATATGGTCGGATTGGGTGGTAACCTATTTTGGGATTGGTTAAGTTGACTCGAAAAAAAAAAGTCAACCTACAAACATATCCGTTTTTCAAAGTTTCAAAAATTCAACACAAATCAAACCGAAAAAAGAAATTAACCCAACTCAACATTTGTGATTCAGATTGAGTAGTCTAGGTTGATCAGATTCCCGAGTCATATGTGAACACAAATGGCTCGAACTTTAAGAAAAATTATGATTTAAATTTAAATTTCATATTTAACCGATAAGTAATAACTATTGAAAAAAAAAAGTTCATTAAGTTACTTTTGATTTATTTATTTTAAAGAAAAAGTCACTTTGGATCGGGTTCATTGTATGATGGGCCGACCCGAACATGAACACGAGCCCATTTTCAAGGAGGGGATATAAAAGGAGTTATTGAAAAAGAATAAGGGTAATAACGTAATTGCGTATTTCCATTTAACCTTTTTACTTCAATTTACTTGGTCAATTTCACCCACCGAAAACCCTCCTCGCCGCCAAAATTTTACCACTTTTCAACCGCCGCAGGATGGACCTCTTCACCGGCGATCACCGGATTCCGAGCTCCGACAGCTTCCCACAGCACGTTGCTCCATTTCCCGATTCGACGGACCTCCTCTACGCTGCTCCTTCTGCCGTATTTCCCTCTGCCGACATCATCGCCCACCTACCAAACCCTCCGCCGCCGCCGCAGAAGCTCCGTCCTATCCGCTGCAACGGTAGGTCCCCGGCGGGTTCTCAGGCCGATAACATCTTCGACGGTGCTCTAAGGAGTTTCCAATGTGTTTCGTCGTCACCAGAGGGTGGATTTTCTGGCGATCAGCTCTGTGTGGCTAATATTGACCCTTGCCAGTACTTCAATTCCTCTGAGAAAGATGATAAGCCCGACGCCAAGGATAATGGCGGCTTCAGCGATATCATCGGAAACAATTTCTTCTCGGAGGAAGAGACGAAGAACGGTGGTACAGATGCTGCCATCGCTGCGGAGAATTTGAGCCGGAGCCTTGAAGGACCGCAATTGGACGACGATTCGTGGTGAGTTTGAACTCTGAACTGAATATCGCCTCACGAATTGGGGTTTTTGTTCTTCAATTTAACAATTGAAGTTTATTTACTTTAATTACACACGAACACACACACACACACACACACACACAACACACATAGGTGCTTTGAATTTGTTTAGGAAATGCAAACTACTTTATGAATTCTCATAGAAAAGTGATACGATCAAAGAAAAGCTTCCCTGGAAAGTGATCCTTATAAAATATGAAAAAGAAATTGTTCTTTCAGTTTGGTGTTTCTTGATCTCTCTTCATTCAAAGTTGGTTTTATTTCTTTCAATTCTCAATTCTTCAGAAAAAAACTAGAAAAGTTAAAGATGAATCTTGTATAATTTCCAATTTTATCATTATTAAATGAGATGAAAAAAAGAGAAACAAACAGGATATTCCCAAAAATATCCCACTGGAATTAATAAGAACAGGGAGTAGGTAAGTTTACAAAACCCTTTTAGGAGAGTGCACCAATTTGAAGTAGCAAAATGACAAGGTCAACAGAGCCATAAAAGATTCTTCTTTTTTCTCTCCTTTTTTAAAGTTCCCATCACTAGCAACCATCATATTGTCCTAGAAAATACTAACTTTTTGAAGGAAAGAGAAGAGATTGTGCCATGAAATGGTTTTGTACAAAAGATTGTGCCACGAAACTAAGACGACAATCAGAAAGAAGAGGTGAGGGGAGGAAGAAACATTATACATTTTGAAACTGATTGGCTTTCGATTTCGACACTGTTCTTCATTTGTATGGTATTGGATATAGAATCTAGAAGTGCAAGAATTCTGTTCTTCATTTCAAAACTGATTGGCTTTCGATTTCGAAACTGTTCTTCATTTGTATGGTATTGGATGTAGAATCTAGAAGTGCAAGAAGTCTGTTCTTCATTTCGAAACTGATTGGCTTTCGATTCTTGAAAATTAAAATCATGTGAATTCTTTTGTGTTTCTGATACAATTAGTATGGTTAGTCATGGATTTCTTTTTGTTGTGGTCATCTGCTGAATCTGTGACAATGGGTTTAGGATAGAAGGAATTGAATAGGAAGTTCTTGTTCTGATATGTTGATTTATGCCATTGCAGTAATTTGATACTCATCCCATTTTTAGGACTTCTTCTTTTATATTACTTTTTTTCCTTTCTGAAAATGAAACCGAAATTTTCATTGATAATGAAGAAGTTTCGAAAAAGAGGAGAAAAGGCAGATAAAGGAATCCAAACCTGCTTCTTGATCGTCAATCTTTCCCATTTACATGTAACACTATCATTCTTTATGTAGTTAAGCTCAGAAATGAGACTATTTACCTCCTTTTCGTCCTGCAACTAGAAACGGGTTTGTTCGATTATTCAATCAGCCTGTTTCAGACTGAATCTTTCATCTGATGATCGACATTTACCCCTCTCGAACTTGGAAGTTTGACTAAGCATTTCAAAATTTTTAGCTTTCTTTCGTGGCGGAAGGTATCCTCCTCTTTCCCGACACCCTTATCCTTAAAGTCTGCGTAAAATCTGCAAATTCCTTCTCATGGGTGCTTGTTCTATTATTGAAACTGAAAGCAAGCTAAAAGAAAGTTGGTTTATGGAATTCCTTGCCTTTAATTGTTTAATATTGTAATACATACACAGCAGCTTCTGTTATCTTGATTGAAGTTTTATCAGATCAAATAAGTAGAAATCCCAGCATGATACATGCATAGATACATAGATATATACTTTTTATGATGAACATAGGTAGATAGATATATATAGCTGTGCTCGATAATATATGACCAACTCTAAATTACTTGATTACTTGTTTCCAGCTCCACTTCAGATGGCGGTGATGACGTTTTAAGCACAAAAAAACATTTAAACCATAAGAGAAAGCGAACGACAAGATCGCTTGAGCTTTTCGTGGAAAATTTGATAATGAAGGTAATGAATAAACAGGAGGAGATGCATAGGCAGTTGATAGACATGATAGAAAAGAATGAGAAAGAGAGAATAGTCAGAGAAGAAGCTTGGAAACAGAGGGAGATCGAAAGAATGAGAAGAGACGAGGAGTTGAGAGCCCAAGAAACGTCTCGCAGCTTAGCAATTATCTCCTTCATCCAAAATCTGCTAGGCCATGAAATTCAAATCTCACAACCAGTCGAAAACCACTGTACAGAAGACGATGGAGGTGAAAGCAGCATACAGAAGGAGCTAAAAAGCGATCCAAGTAGTAGAAGATGGCCTCGAGCTGAAGTACAATCTTTGATATCACTTCGAACTTCGCTAGAACATAAATTCCGTGCTACAGGCTCGAAAGGTTCTATATGGGAGGAGATATCAGTCGAGATGCAGAAGGTCGGTTACAACCGTTCGGCAAAGAAATGCAAAGAAAAATGGGAAAATATGAACAAGTATTTCAAAAGAACAATAGGAACTGGGAAAGCTAGTATTGCAAACGGTAAGACATGCCCATATTTTCAAGAATTAGATACTCTTTATAGAAATGGAGTAGTAAATTCAGGAGCTGTCATTGATAGTACAAGCACTGAACATAATTCACAGGCTGAAAGAAGTATAGACCCCTTTCATGAAGATGAGGCCTTTGTACAAGGTGAAAGTGAAAGAGAGCATGTAAAACAGGAGGCCTTGGAGATGACACAATTTTAAAGAGATTTACGTGTACACTACCGATCCGTTCGGTCGATTTTTGCAGCCCAGCTTTCGGATAACGCAGGTTCTTCCTGCTTCCGGCTGATCTATTCATGGCTGCTTTCCTGGTCGGCTCGTTTTTTCAGATTTTAAACTCGTGTATGTTTCAGTATTTGTGCCTCTATAGTGACCAAAAGAAATGCCATGTTTTCAGTTGGACGTTAGCAGGAAATGATGGCAGTAGATTGAAGAATCACAACGCTTGAATCAAGTTTTGGGATGTGGCGATGATGCTAAGTAAATGGATAACAGTTGTAAACATATCAAACTTTATTCTTATGGATTTGTTTAGATTTACTGTTTAAATTTTCGGTTAGTTTGTAATGAGAAATACGTTGATATCGATTTGCTATGTTACGTTGATATCGATTCGCTATGTTATGCTATGTTACGTTGATATCGATTCGCTATGTTATGCTATGTTACGTTGATATCGATTCGCTATGTTATGCTATGTCAGGTTACTTCTCAACATCATACTAACTTGTTTCAATTTATATTCCTACAAAATTTCATATTTAATTTTGTGGGACTTTTTGGATTTTTTTTATTTTTTTATTTTTTTATTTTTTTATCTATCCGACTTAGACTTTTTGTAACGGATATTTTTTTCTTTGGCTTTCTTCTTCTAACCTCAAGGCTTTAAAGTCTGTTTGCTTGGAGAAGATTTCCACACCCTTAAAGAGCGTTTCATTCTCTTCTCCAACCAATGTGGACTCTCACAATTCACTCCCTTCGGGGCCCAACATCCTATGTGGGACCCTCGCCAAATATCCACCCCCTTCGGGGAACACCCTCCTCGCAATCCACCCATTCGGGGCTCAGTATCCTACGTGGGACCCTCACCAAATCCACCCCCTTCGGGGCCTAGCATCTTATGTCGGACCCTTGCCAAATCTACCCCTTTTGTAAGGGGCAAGCCTAAGTTTGCCGCTAGTAGATATTATTCTCTTTGGACTTACCCTCAAGGCTTTAAAACAGGGGAAAGTTTCTACACATTTGTAGCAGCTCATGTCTACCGCTAGTAGATATTGTTTCTTTGGGCTTTCCCTTCCGAGCTTACCCTCAAGGCTTTAAATCAGGGGAAAGTTTCTACACCTTTGTAGCCTTTGGACTTTCCCTTTCGAGCTTATCCTCAAGGCTTTAAAATAGGGGAAGATTTCCACACTCTTATAAATTTGTTCTCCTCCCCATCCATTTCATAAATATTATATATTTTTTTATATACAAGGGTTAAGAGGGTCCATTGTAAATAAGTATTAATTAAGTTTTCATCAATACTTTTAATTATTTTCATTAATTTCAAATTTTTCTCCAAAAAAAAAAAATAATAATAATAATAAAATTATGACATCTGTCACCGGAGCATACCACTTTCATAATCCCCACATTACTTTCTTACGTAAATGGTATCACTTTCATTAAAATCGACCTACACCAAATGCTAAATGCAAGTAGGGACTCCGAAGAGTCATAAAAAGAAGGAAACGTGAATAATTAACTTTTTTTTGGTTGATACGAGTCACATATATATGAAGTCCCACAAGCATAAAGCATCCATTTTTCTTTGGGCTATCATCTATTGGTCGTTTGACCATTGAAAGTTAGATTGTATGACTATGCAAACGGTACCAGTTGACCCCTTCCTTCTCTCTTGCATGTAGGGGCGTACACGGGTTGGATTGAGTTCTTTTGGAACAATCTGAAAATTTAGGTTAGTTAGGTTGGTGATGTGCAATTTGAGCAAAGTTCATAACTCAACTCAATCTAACCCAAATTTTCGACAACTAAACACGAGGGTTACGCTCGTTGCAGGACTTAACCCAATATCTTACGACACGAGCTAACGACAGCTATGCACCACCTGTGTCCGTGTTCCCGAAGGCACCACTCTCTTTTAAGAGGATTCGCGACATGTCAAGCCCCGGTAAGGTTCTTCGCTTTGCATCGAATTAAACCACATGCTCCACTGCTTGTGCAGACTCCCATCAATTCCTTTGAGTTTCATTCAACTTTTTAAAAATTCAACCTAACCCAACCTTTTTCTGGATAGTATGAATTAGTCGGGTTACTTGTGCGAGCTACGTCTGACATCTTTCTTCTCTTCTTGCATGAGAGAGAGTGAACATGTCACAAGATATAGAGCTAGGAGAGACCAGTGATGTTGGTAAAATAAAGTATTATCTGTTTTTACCTGCCACTTCAACTTATCTCTATAAAAGTTCAAGGGTAGTTTTTACCAAGTAACTGATTTTTTTTTTTTTTTTTAACTTTTTAAAACTTTACTATCTCTTTTCTTTGCCTGCTGAATAGCTTGATCCCCAAGCATTGTCTGACTGTCTTCTCTCAGGACAGCAGTCTGATACTTCTAGTTGACTGCTCTATAACGGGCTTCCTCTTTCCCTGATAGTTTGATTCCCCACAAATGATCCGTCTCCAAGCTTGACCCCTCCCACACAGGGGCGAATGGCTGGGAAAAGAACCAAAAAGCAATAATAGGAGTCCCGACACAGACAGCCTATTTCGAAACCATTAATAAAAATAATTTTTTTTTAAGGATATTTTTTAATTTTTAATTTAAAGAGGATATTTTTTAACCTAAAATATTTTAAAAAAGTTAGACTATATATTAAATTAAATCGACAGGCTATTTCATGAAAAAAAAATTGACAAGCTAATTTATGAGCACCGTTTTATCCACTACTAAACGGCACCGTTTCATACCGCAGTTCCATTTTCCCGCCAACAGATAGTTTATGATTATTTGAATTTAGAAAGCGCCGAACACAGAGCTGCAGAAGCTGCCACGTGTTCACTCCAAAGCAGAATCGAACCTTCGACCCTTTTTTTGAAAAAAAACCAATCTCTTTGCTCCATCTTCTCCAACTCGAAGAGCAAAAGCCCTAAAAATGCGCTGAATCAAACATTGCCAAAAGCTTAGTTTTTCTTCGAAGATTTGTGCGTGTAATTGATATCTTTCATTGTCAAGATCTCGAGCTTTTCATCTATGGCGAAAGTCATCAAGCCCTCTTCGCGCTACTGTTCCTACGATGTGCGATCTTCTACTTCCTCCCATTTCTCCGATCCTTCTTCTTCCTCTGAGTTCAAGCTTAAGTCTCCAATGGCTGCGAAATCATCGTCTTCGCGCGCTCTTGTTCAAATCAAGGCGTCTGATTTGGCTAGGACTAAGGCGAAGCCGTCGGATCAGAACTTGACGGCGATGGTGAAGAAATTCATGGAGAAGCGGTCTGGTTCGAAACCGAAGGCGGTGAAGCAGGCGGCTGGGTTGGTGATTCCGTCGGATTTAATTGCGGAGGATTTGAAAAAGACGGCGAGGAAGGGGACGAACTTCGGAGGGCTGCATAAGAAGCTGTTTGGGAAGGGATCGGTGGAGAAGAAGGAGAAGGAGGTGAAGGCGTTGACGGAGGTTAAAGGGAATACGAGGACATTGGCGATGGTGCTGAGGAGTGAAAGAGAGCTTTTGGGTTTGAATAAGGAGCAGGAGTTGGAGATCAATGAGCTCAAATTAGTTCTGGAGGAGAAGTACAGAGAGGTGAGGATTGAGTATACACTACAATTGTAGTCAATGCTTTTTTAACTAGAAAAATACTACTTTTTACTTTCAGTTCTAAATTATACTTAGAATTACAAAGTTTAGATTGCATGTTTAGAATCATTCATGTTAAATAGGATCGATCTTGCTTGTGAAGTGATTCGAATCTCCAACAAGTGTTCTTGTTTTGAGATATTCGATCAACAAGTTAATCCGTTTCAAAGCTTTCCATTGGGGTGATTTATTATCATCAATGCACTTGTGTTAAATTTTCGTTTTTCCTGAAAGACTTACGTCTAGTGAGAAATAAGAACATTGTTGTGGTTAAAGTTTTTTGGTCATGTTAGACGCTCTTTAGCCTTTAGCTTATGGCATTCTCATTATAAGTTCGGATCTTTCTCTATTATGTTTGATTTTGTGGTGCGAAATCTTTTCGTGATTCTATTTTGGTACTTATGGTTGAATTTTGTGTTATGATTAGGGAGTAATGTGCCCCTCATTTTGCACATATTGTTTGTTAACACAACACTGTTTCTTATTGTTGTTGCTATCAGATTGAGAAGTTGAAAGATTTATGTTTGAAGCAAAGAGAAGAAATAAAGTCATTGAAGAATGCAATATTGTTCCCAGATGTTATGAACTCGCAGCTTCAAGATATTCTTGAAAAGCAGGGTTCAGAGTTGAAGCAAGCCAAACACATCATCCCCACTCTACAAAAGCAGGTCACCACTCTCACTGGCCAGCTTCATTCCCTCGCCGAGGACCTAGCCGAGGTATGAAAGAAAGCAGTACTATTTACATCATTAAGTAGGAAAACTCTGATTGACCAATCACCAAATTGCTCGTTAGGAACTCATGTCAATGGAGATAGTGTTCTTACTTATAAACTCATGATCTTCCTCTTAATTAGCCCGTGGGACTACTCCTTTCAATAATCCTCAACAATGCTCTCCTCGAACAAAGGCCTATAAAGCCCTTGAACAGCCTCCCCTTAATCCAGGCTCGACTCCTTTCTCTGGAGCCCTCAAATAAAGTACTCCCTTTGTTCAACACTTGAGACACTTTTGACTACACCTTCAAGGTTCACAACTTCTTTGTTCGGCATTTGAGGATTATATGGACATGGCTAAGTGAAGGGCATGGCTCTGATACCATGTTAGGAACCACGAACTCCACAACGGAATGATACTGTGCACTTTGAGCATAAGCTCTCATGGTTTTGCTTTTGGTTTCTCCAAAAGGCCAAATGCCAATAGAGATTCTTTACTTATAAACTCATGATATTCCTCCTAATTAGCCAACGTGGACTACTCCTTTCAACAAGGGCTTTGTTGAATTGTTGAGCTGATGCTTTTAACTATAGGATAGATCTAATTTAGCTCTAGCCACTGAAAGCTTTCATTTCTTTGATATGGGCTATGAAAGTACGACTGCTTTAAAGCTAAAAGAGCCTCTAATGAAATTTGGATGTTTCGTGATATGATTCTGATACCGAATAGCTGCTATTGTATGGGTATTCGTTGCTTCCTCTGTGGCAATTGATTTAGCTTATAGTACAATTGACATTTTATTTTGTGCAGGTAAAGGCTGATAAATATTCAGGAAAGTCTTGGTTACAAGGTAGTAGTTCTCCTCACACACCAACATATGATCATCACGAGGATGCTTCTAACTCATTGGTAAGCACAAAAGATACCTTTCATCTTCATGTCCATCATTTTAATGTTGGTTCATACCAATCCTGTCACTATTGCCCTGTTTGCTCTAATAATCAAAGCTCTAGAGTATGG